CCCAATACAAAGAAACCACCATCTTCATCATACTAAAACCCGGCTTCAACCCCACCCAGTCCATGTCCACCAGAAGATCAACCACATCGCTAACCTCACTCTTCGAATCAATCAACTTCTTAACCCATCCATACATTATTGAAACCATGAGCTTCATCGTTTCCTTGTCCACTCTGTTCTCCTTCCTAAGCCAATCAAACACCTCCAGTGCACACCATGAATCCCTCCCCTCCTGAGAAAAATACACCAAAACAAGTTGCAAATCCCGGGCAGATAATTTCTGGTGCATTTCTTCGAGCACCTGGGAGGGCTCCCTGGTCATACGTTCTAGTTCCTCAATCGCCTCGAAAACCCCTTGCCTCGTTTCACCCTCATCATCAGATTCATCGCTCGTAACTGCTCTGTCTAGTTCAGTCGAATTGAAAACCCTGAATTCCCAAAACACTCCCTTTTCATGAACAGCAAAGTTAGGGTTTTGACCCGACCCGCTGGCGGAAAAATTGAAGCGTGAATGGATTCTCAAATTTAGCCACTTTCGAGAATGGGTAAAACTAGATGCCAGTCTTAGGGAACACGGTTGTGTAAAGCGTATAAACGGAAGAGGACCAATTTCAGAGATGGTGACCATGATTATGAGACTTTAGAGCTTTCTCTTCCTAAAATCCGTTTCTTCTGCAACTAGTCATTCTTACTTGACAGTTGGACCCGTCTTCACAAGTTCACAATCTATATTCTGAACTCCTACTCCTATCGAACTCTAATGGATTAAAGTTCAATTTAATTCTTTTCGGCTAACTATTCTGACGAAATTGAGACTTGAGAGACTCTTGGAGTCAGGAGATTTATCTTTTTTTATAGATTCTGAATATACAGATGCATGATGGGGGCACGTGATAATTGGTTGGACAATTAGCGATTGAGTGTCAATAGAATAATACGGAGCACTTGAGTTCAGTTTCTGATAATTGCGTTGGAGACATTTATGCTAAGCATAACATCTCTTCATGTAATAGGTGTAAGTTTTTCCTTTTGCCAATAAATTTATGATTAAAACTCAATTTATCTCATCTCAGATAACTGACATACGAATTTTGATAGACTCTTGAGGATAAGACTCATTCTTTTTTAAAGTCCGAAGTTACCCAAACTAAAGTGACAAAATCCGAACTAACCGACCAATTTGTCAGCTCTAGAAGGTATCGTCAAAACTTCCTCAGACCCCTTTAGAGATCTTTGTTACTTTCTTGATTATTTATACCTTTCTTTTTCAACCTTTTTGGATTGGTTCGTTTGGTTGGACTATGATATTGTTTACTATAGATCAAACTCTCACAGATTTATTTTTGGATACCTCACAAAAGAATTTATACTGCAGAGTGATAGATTAGATTGAGCCAATTTGTTTAGATTCTTTTTCTTTTAAACATCCATCTAGTGTGGGACTTAGTGCCATAATGTCATAATTAAAACAGCAAGTTAATTGAGATACTTTTGCTCCTGGTACAGCTCAATTAATCCGGCATATATATCATGGCATATCATCATTCAATCCAATTCTTCGTTGTTGAAGCAGCTGCTTGCATGCACTTGTAGATCATACTCCATTGATAGAGCTTTAAGTTTCTGCTCTTTCTGGGCCTCGTGGACCATTCTCAGCCTATTCACTTCCATTTGCATCCCTTCAATTTCCTCTGAAATATAATAGGAGAGATACATCTTTCGTAATCTCTAATTCAACACTTTGATTACTAACACACGAGAGAATAATTGAAAGATTTTTTTTCATTGGTTGAAATAATAATACTTTG